TCATCTCGGTGGAACCTCGCAGTTGAGCAAATCATCAACTCTCAGCCGGAGTAAATCATCTCGGCTGGAACCTCGCAGTTGAGCAAATCATCAACTCTTCAGCCGGAGTAAATCATCTCGGCTGGACCTCGAGTTGAGCAAATCATCAACCCATCAGCCGGAGTAAATCATCTCGGCTGGAACCTCGCAGTTGAACAAATCATCAACTCTTCAGCCGGAGTAAATCATCTCGGCTGGAACCTCGCAGTTGAACAAATCATCAACTCTTCAGCCGGAGTAAATCATCTCGCTGGAACAGAAGAGTAGGCCCCCATCCACTATTATTTCGAACACAACAAACTCTTCAGCAAAAGTAATTCACTTCTATTACATTGACAAAAAGAGTATTTGCATTCAGAAGTGTAGGGGAAACAAGTCCCTCAAAAAATTACATAAGCTGCATTCCTGGCCGGGGTACGCCTTTGCCATCCAATATCTTCAAGTGGTATGCCCCTTGCCCGGTTATCTTGTAAGGCTCTTCCTAGTTTGCCCCTAGCTTGCCTTCACCCGGCACTAGTGCGTTGCCCATGACCTTCCTTAAAACCCAGTCGCCCACTTGCCCGTTGCCATCGAGGTCTCCGCGGTGGACGTCGCTGCATCATCCTCTACTCGGATGTGCTCATTGATGCGCTGCATTAGGTGCCACATGGATGTCTGCTGGCTCATTGTAAGCGAATCCCTCAGCCTATGTCCGAGCGGGAGACCGCGCTTATATTGCGTGATTGCAAGGTTGACCGGCAATCCAAGATCTCGTTGAAGGTTTCCCAATACCTCGAGTTGTATGCCTTCAGTGTGTCGCTCGGTTCCATCTTGACACTAAGTAAATGATCGACTTCCTTTGGTGTTTCTGTGTTGGTTTTGAAGCGCGTCATAAAGGCTTCGGCCAACTGATGCCACTGTTGTATGCTCCCTTCCGGCAACCTCTCGAACCACTTCAAGCCCAGCTCGCCCAAACTTGACGGGAAGATCAGGCACATAAGTCCGTCATTTCGCCTATGTCCGGCCATAACCTGTTGGAAGTGGCTCACATGCATGTAAGGATCGGTTTTTCCGTCGTAGAGTGTGAACTTAGGCTGGTGGAAGCCTGCCGGAAGCAGTGTTGTTTCTATTTCTAGGGAAAAAGGGGTGGCACTTAACCTGGCCAAATCTGAATCACTAGGAGCGGCGCTGCCTGGCAGGCGGGGGGCATTCCGACCTCCTCGCTGGCGTGAACCCCGTAGGATAGCCGCTGGAACGTCGGTATCCTCTGAGCTTCGCGCCGACGAGCGCGCTCCTTTAAGACCGCCCGCAAATCCTCTGAATGAGCGGAGTAAGAGTACCTCGACGTCGTCACCGAACGTGAGGGCCGGTAGCTGCTGTCTTGCGCGCTAGACTTCTCTGCATGCACGTCGAGAATCACCAACCTGGTAACTTCTGGTAATAGAAATGGATGGAGTGCGTCGCTGACTCTGACCGCCTGAACGGCGGATGGGGTACGCTCATTGTGGTCACCACTCCAGCTACACCCTTCCTTCGACATGCCGCCTGAGCTCC